CGGCTACACATTTTAGATCTCGCCCTTTATGTCTTGTTCACGATTCTGAAGTTGTGGCCTTTGGGGGACCGTGGACACATGGATGGGTCTGGTGGAAGTGGTTCATCTTTGCTCTGTTGGTCTGTGATTTATGCCGACCCTGTTCAAGCAGATCCCTTGCTCCTGTTGTGGGCACTGCTCCACCTGGCCCCGGCTGCTCCACACTGTGCGGCTACACAAGTAATACAACCTCGATCTTGTTTGACCAGTTCCTCCACACTTTTATTTTTCCTTTCGCTATGGGCTAATCTTCAATCAGCAGGCACCTCCCCATAAAATGTGGAATTGATGTGTGTAATCTGAATTGCATCGAATTCCTTAAGTCCTTTTGATTCTAAACCAGTTTGGTTTGCACAGTGAGTCATTCTGGTGCTGCAGCTGTTGGTGGTCCTCTCTGCCCACGTAAACTCATCCTGGTGGCTTATGTTCCCTTTGCCGAGGTGTCCGTCTGTCTCAGCGCTTGCTGAAGAGACTGACTCACTGCCTTACTTATGTTTACACCCTGTGATCCTGAAAACAGACTCTCAAAACTGGTAGAAAGCTTTACTCTTTTTTCTGTGCATGTAAGATTATTTAGAAGGAATTTAGTTCAAGTAAGGGAACCAGAGTAAATAAAACTCAATTCTACCCATAAGAATTTACTTTGTCTGTTTTCACCAAGGCTGGTCCATTGACACAGCCTTACATTTCCTTGAGTCAAGGAGAAGAGAGATCTCTTTTATTCAAATATATTTTCTTTATAACTCTTCTAGTAATATGGTGAAGTGTGAACAGTGAAAACAAAGGCAAACTCTGATTGAGAGGCAGGGAGACCTGAGCTAGAGGGCTATTTTGCTCATTCCTGGTCTATGAAACAACCTGCTTCTTTGGAGTTAGGCTACGAGATTTCCTTGAGTTTATTTTCTGGGTGTTTGTTAGGCACAACTAAGTAAAGGAGAAGCCACATATCATTACCCGGGATTTATTCTAGGGGAGATCTAGAGGTTGCCGCTCTGGAAATGAAACAACCAGAGTCCTGTGTTCAGTTTCTCTGGTTGGTGAGTGCCTGTGGAGAGCATTCACAAAGCAGTTTACAAACTTTGGGGCCGGGCTGAGTTGTGTGCAGTTCACCAGCGGTCAGGAGTTGCTGGCTGGGTCACAGAAGGCAGAAAGTGCGGGGGCGAGGGGATTGTGGGAACATGGTACTCAGGATGGCTTTTCTCTCTCCACTACCAACCTTGTCCATCTGCTTCCACTCCCTGTCAAGTAGTTGCTGGGGCCACACAGGACTGGGTGGGAGAGGGGCCCACGTGGTCTCATGAGTAAAAACTGGTGTGAGGCCTTGTCTTCCGAGGGCTAGATAAGCTCCCGCAGCTGGCAGGGCTTGGCCTGCAGATCCTCCCCACCTCAGCCCTGGCCACAAGGAGATTCTACATATGAAAACTAAAATGCCTTCTAACTCAGAGGTTTTCTCCTACACTAACGGTGTTTATAGAGATTCAGTTGTCCCTCAAGAAGAAAGGACTTCGTGATTTGTAACTGAAGTGGGAAAAGGGTGCCTTAGGTAGTCAGCTCTCTCAAAAGGACTTTTTGTTTTGTTTTGTTTTGCAATCAGTTGAAGCTTTCAGCTGTGGAAAATATGTGGCTCGTTGTTATAAAATTGAAGACTCTTTGTAACCTCAGCTCGCCTCTTAGAGGCTTCCTGTACACTGCAGCCCAGGGTGCCAAAGGCTTGGTACCCGCACACACAGCTTGCCGGTGGGAATCGTTGTTCTAACCCTGCTGGGAGAGGCGTGCTCTTTCTGTGCCCTCCTTAGACAGACCCACCTTCCATGGATTTAGTTGGGGGTATTGGGAGGCTTGGATTTGTCCTCATTCTGGCCCTGGGTAACTGTGTGATTTAGGGAACTGTATATTATCTTTGTTTCTTCATGTATAAAATGGTGGGAAGGAGGGGGCATGGGACATGGGTATGAAACACACCTTTTAGTATAATCCATTTCCATGGAAGCACCTGAAGGAGCTGTTCTCATACCTGAGTCCAAATCAAACCTGGGAAAATGGATAAAGTCATGGTGATGTGGTCTATATATGAAGTGAAGCTTTAGTTACACCAGTGCCAGAAGGCAATTTGCATCCGGTTTGCAAATGTAAATTTTGATGTAATGCAATGCTACCAAATATTTTTATAATACTTTCTTTTCCTCTTAAATCTCTTGACTGAGGGGGATTTTCATTACACTGATTGCTTTGAGCTCCTATCTTATTCAATGAAATTACTGAAAAATAAGATAGTTTCTCTTATCGTTTCTTCTGGTGTCAAGTCAGTTATACAGGAGACGGTTTTATGGAGAGCTGTCTTCTGATGTGGACCCCGGCCCACAGGGTCTGTGTGTTGTGGATGCGATGAACAAATTCACATGGACTGCAGAAGTCCTGTGGAGAAAAAAGGGCATCATGGCCCCTCTGAGTGAGAGAGAGGGCCCCGACCCCCGCCTGGGCAAGCTTTTATTGCTTTTCTGGACACATTCCATTTACTATATACAGGTTCACTTTGGGTGGTTGCCTTTTACAGAAAACCGGAGAGGATGTGGCTAATCACATCAAAGAAGGATATTTGCAAATACAAAGGGAAAAGTGGTTGAACTGGTTACACTCCATACTTGGGAGGTTTAGCATAGATTCTAGGAAGTTACTTTAAAGATATGCAGTAAACATTTGCTGCCTCAATTCAGGGGGAGGGAGTTTTAGCAAAAGCAAGTCTCAAAGCAGCCTAGGTACAATGCAGCCTAGGCCTGATTCCCCACGGGAGAACCTATCCGTGGTTGTGGGTCCTGTGTGCCGACCTCACTCCCCATTGGTTTTCCCAATCAGGGGCTGGGCTACATTCCCCACACCACGCAGAACGGTTCCCTATAGTCTTCTAAAAAACAGATTTTAATTTCAAGGAAATTGATAAAGCAAAATTAACCTAAGTGCAGATTTTTTAAAAATCTTGAAACCCTTTTTTTATATCTCAAAACTAAGTGGGGCCATTTGCCATTCCATAAACTTAACTTCAACAAACTAAAAACCGAACTGCAACAAGCATGATTAAAATATTATTTTATTGAAAATAAAAAATATACAGAAACATTAATTTAAAATTTATAAACTTTAAAAAATGAACAGTATTTATAAACATTTGAAAAATAGAAAACTTCATGACCATAGAATTTATCCAAAATATATGAGAACATTTCACATATATTTATATAAATTACTTTTCCACAAAATTTTGTGGGAATGGGAAGATTGCACTTAGTTCAGTTTTAATGAGAAGAATAAAATACTTCTGTTGGAATCACTTTGTATTGGTTTGGTTGGGACAGTATAATGATGGGATTCATTCTCATCTGTATTACTTAAAATGAGCTACAGTACACAAATTGAAAAAAATGAAGAATGTAGTATAAAAATGGGCAACTAATGGTCCTTACCTATTTGGTAATAAGACTAAAATTAAGATGTTGATTTAAAGAGAATAAACTTTATTAAATGCTTCATGTGTTGGGCATGATGCGGGGTGCTTTCCATGTATTTTAGTGCTCTTAATATAAAGGCATTATTTTCACAATGCTAAATCTAAAGGGTTTTATGAACATTCAGCAATCTGAACTAAAAACAAAATCATTAACCATTGACCTAAGAATAAATTTACAAGTCAAAAAAATAAAGTGAAACTATCATGTTTACATAATTAGAAAAAGGTTTCAATCTTTCAATTTGGCTGTGCGAGGACAATTTTGTACTCCTTAATGACACATACACAGGTATTCACATAATTGACCCTCAGATATCATCTATGTGAGATAAAGAAAGTGTATATATTAAAATATATACATATGTGAAACTACCAGTTAAGACTAACATGGTTGGTCTGAAATATGATCCAGCATTTTATTCCTCCTTAGACAATATTTGTGCTCGCATTTTGGGTTTTCAATGCGTATGCCCTCTGGGGATTTTTAGAGTATTTCAAATATTTCATTGTTTCTCAACATATTTCAACTCATTAAACTTTTCTCAGTCTTTCTCCTGGGCATATGTGTCAACACCAGTCTATTTTCCAAGCCAGAGCACATGTGGTTCTTGTGTTCTAAGAACCTTCAACTTGAACACAATACACCAAGGGCAAAGCTTTGTGACAGGTGACCTTTAAGAAATATTCAACACGAAAATTCACAGCCTCAGGTTGGATGCCATTAATGTCCTCACAAGAAGGTATCCCGGAGACACCAATAAAGTTTTCAACAGAAAAAAGTAAAACTTTAAAAGAATTTCTACATTTTTTAAATACTACCTTTTTCTACAAATGTGTATTCATAGCTTATTTATCTGACATACAATTAAAGTGAAACAGCAGTCAACAGAGTAAACACACATTTGACCTGAGGTATTGACCCATGTACCTTCCATGGATTATCAATGTTCAAAACTTTAGAATGCGTCGCATTGTACTCAGCGCTAAACTATGCGGGAGACTAGAACGGCGCGTCTGGAGTTGGCAGGCATCTCAGATCTTCACTGTGAAACCCGTCCTAGTTCCACAGAACTGGGGAACACGAGAGCCGGTCTGGTAGAATGCTGAATAACAGCATTTATTTACCATTATTACCCAGCACAGACTTGAGCTAGGTTACAAACAAACAAAACTAATAACATTTGATGTTAGAACAGAGAAATCCAGTTAACCAGAAAGGTTTTTGTTTTTTGAATGTCACAATTCTTTTTTGGTTAGGATTGTTGTTTTGTTCTGAGAGAAATACGTTTAGTCTAGAAGATAGCTAATTTCTCCTTTTCCATTAAATCAATGAGTGGTGAGAAATCTGTCCATAAACATTAGAGACCACCAAAAGTGTTATTCTTGCCATGCATTTGGAGATAGGAACACTTTATGTAAGTTTTAATACCAAAAAATTTTTCCCTATAGTAATCCCTGAGGTCTTAATACTTTGTTTTCTAGGAAGTTAACTCCCCTTCTTATTTTTCCAAAACACTTAACAATAAAATGTATAGAAAATGTGGCCAGGGTGAAATTCCACAGATAAAGACAACCTACCACTTATTGTAGTAGGACATATATTTTCAAAAAGGTTTGTAACTAATTACAATTTCCTTAACAAGCTTGAAAGTGCAAAGTTTTAAGAGAATGATTATGATAAATTCAGTTTTTCACAAAGATCTTTTTAGTTGTTTCCAAACCGTTTGTGAAAAACCCACCCTATGGGGATTAAACATGTGAGATGAATTTAAGTGTACAATATAATCTTAAAATAATGTAGCAATTACTTTACAAAAATCTCTACATCACTAAGGAAAATAACCTTTGGGATGGTAGTTAAAATAAAGGCACAAAATGAACGCAGGGGATTCCAAAACTGAATTCGCTTGGACTTCTCCAGAAACTCAATTTTATCTTGCATTCCTCAGGTTTGAGTTAGAAGAACTCACGAACACAATCATTGGTGTTTGTCTTTGTAAAAATAAAAATAAATTATTTCCTTTACCTAAGGTATACAATATTTCCCTCCTCAATTCTTCCCTTTTTAAGTTGGTAACAAATGTCTATGATATGTCCATCAATGACAATCACACTTCATCGGCTCTTCATGGACGTGTGTCACTGCACCATGACATGCAAGGAGCAGATGTGTAGAGCAGGCTTCTTTTCCTCTGTAACACCCTCCCCTTTAGCTGTTTCGTTTGTGGAAGGGGGAAAAGTGCATTAGCAATCTCACACCTCAGTTTTCATCATTTGAAACTATGACTCATCAGAGAATGATCGGCACTTGGCTTGTCAGCACACATTAAATTCATCGATGACTTACTGTGAGACTAAGAATAGCAGTCAGAGAAATGAAGAGCCACCTGGCAGGACCACGTACACTGTGACCAGAAGAAAGAGATTATTCTGAGACTCATCTAACTTGGACTTCTTTTGTGCTCAGGGAATATTTCAAGTTTGTAGAAATGAGAAACGGCAGAAGTCTTCTGGAGGATGATCAAAATATCGATTCCCAAATGTGATGGCCAAAAATGCAGGCATTTTAATTTGGCCTCAAATCTAAATTATTAGTTAGAACTTTAAAAATGTCACCTTTCCTAATTGTCCTTCCAAGAGTCAGGTATTCCTTCTCCTCTCCAAGTGTCCCTTATGGGGTCAAGTTCAGGGTCTGTAGAGACTTTGATCATTCGTTAGTCCTGCTAAACAACGTAATGTCATCCTCATATCCTGAGTTTGAACAGTCTATATTCTCTAGTAAGACATATTTGTCTTCATTGCCACTCAGAGTGAGCACTTCTTTCTGAGTAGTGGATGTCAGGTCACTCCAGGTAATGTGGGTGTTTTTAAAAGCGTGCAGAAGGAAGATGCCATTGATAATGGTGAAAAACCCACTCAGGGTCCCGATGATATCCCCAGCTTTCATGCCGTACCATTCTTGGAATAAGATGGCGGAGCAAGTTACTACCATGGACGTAAAGAACACATAGTAAATGGGAGTCACGAGAGATGTATTAAAAGTGTCCAGTGCCTTGTTGAGATAGTTAATCTGTGTTGTCACTGAAAGCACAAGGACAGCCAGCAAAACAAAGACCAGGGGATGCTTGTAAACTGGCTTCCATTCCAGAAGTTCCTTAATGGCAATTCCCAGGCCCTTGACAGAAGAAACTGAAAATGCTCCAATCAATGAACAGATTGAAATGTAGACCAGGATGTTGGTCTGTCCTTTCTTGGGAGCCACGAACAAAATCAGCACCAAGGCAATCACAGTAATGATCACAGCAAAAGAAATGAATCCTGTTAGGAAGAGAACAGAATTAGACTTCAGCCCTGGCTGGTGTGGCTCAGTGGACTGAGTGCCAGCTTGCGAACCAAAGGGTTGCTGGTCTGATTTCCAGTCAGGGCACATGCCTGGGTTGCAGGCCAGGTCCCTGGTAGGGGGTGTGTGAGAGGCAACCACACATTTCTGTTTCTCTCCCTCTCTTTCTCCCTCTCTTCCCCTTTCTCTGGAAATAAATTTAAAATAAAAAAAAAATAATTAGACTTCAGAAAATGCTCAGAGGATCATGTCTTTGTGACATCTTATTAGTCATGAGTTTAGAAGAACAGGTGTTTTAGATAGAGAAGTGAGATTACATTTTTAAAAAGCAACAATACTTTACTGCACAGCTCTCGATATTTTAAAAAGGACTTCTCCCAAAATATCATTTGAATCTCACAGAGAACACTATCTAGTATGGCAGATATTGTCTGATTGATTTTTTATTTTCAGAGGGAGAGAGTGGCCAAATTTGGGTTGGAGCATAAGTCTTTTGCCTCTTTTCTCCCCATCTCTTCCTCTCATTATGTGGAGGGGACACATGGACACAAAAGTAAGCTGTGCCACCATTTCAGAAGACTTGTAATACTTCGCGAAACTTCAGTCACAACCCATGACTTGGCTTGTAGGAAGCCAACTGCAATATTATTACAATTCATTTGATGAAGAGAGAAAGTGGAGCAGAATTAGAGTGTTTCTCTTGATTGAATCACAGACCTGGGTCTCTCAATTTCATTTCCATTTCATGCAAAGAAGCGACTTCCTCTTCTTGTGGGGCATGGATAACCATCACAGTTGACCCCAACATACTTAATATGCAGCCTATTTTCCCATGAATGTTCAAGTGCTCATTTAAAAAGTAGGAGGACAATATTGCACTGTTGAGAGAAGAAAAATAAATCACTCTTGTTCAGTTAATTACCTTTTGATTCCATAGCATCTCAGAAGGCACACAGTGGCCCATGCAGCTCCGTCTTCCAAGCACCTGAGCTGTATATGCCATGCGACACTAAAAGCCCTGATTAGTTTTAAAACTCAGAAATGACGCTCAATCAAGCCTGCATAATTGCTTTTATATTTAAAGAGTTAAAATAGACATTCTATGTCCCTCTAAACATCCCATGACCTTCTAAAGAGAACCCACTCAACTCATCTTCAATTTTCCCATCTTTCCGATCTTATTGGCATGATATATTTAGAATTTATACGCACATGATAACTTCAAAAGAAGCTATATGCTTAAAGAATTACTCAGCTCAGGGCTGATATTTAGCTAGTTCACACAAGTATAATCATATGGGTTGTTAAAATATTGAAATATTTCCTTACCAACTGCCACTGCTCTGATACTTTCACCTACCCAATCTACTTTGGTTGCCATGATCTCAGGTAGTTCCACATTGGCAGCACCATGGGCACCAGGTTATGCCATCCTGATGCTTCACCATTATGTGTGCTGTGGCTCCTACGCACCCCCAACACCCTGGTATTACCTATTTGCACCGAAGACTGGTCAACTATCAGGTGCTTTCTAAGAATTGCCCTCATGTGGCTACTTGTGAGGTCTGCAGCCTCAAGGAAAACACTGCTACTACTAATGGCTATCATTCATTGTGTTGACAAAGTTCTAGTGCTTTATGTGTATCAACTCATTGAATTCTCAAAACAGTCCTACAAAGAAGGTAAAAAGAAGTGGGTAGGCATTGTCATAATCTTTCTACTAAAAGTTGATAATGAATGGAGATAAAAGGACAAGAAAAAGAAAACAAGTTGCTTAGCTACAAAATAAGTGTTCATGGGCATGTTGAACACACTCATTTGGGATCATAATAAAGACCAACACATAAATATTAGACCCACTTTCTATGACTGGAAAAATTATTCCTTTTGCCAGTACTTAAGTGAAGAGACCTCCAAACAGAAGTAAGCAGAAGACAATGCAAGACTTTTCGCCGGAATTGAAATTTAACCAAACACTGTGCTTTTTAAAAGTGCTACAACAGACTTCTGGTCAAGGTGGAGGCATAGGTAGACATGCTTCACCTCCTTGCACAACCACAAGAAGAATTACAACTAACCAAAACAAGTAACACCCAGAACTGCTAGAAAATTGAATTGTATGGAAGTCTGATAATGAGGGATTTAAAGAAGCCACATTCATGCAGATGGGTAGGAGGGCGGAGACGTGGAGTTGGAGTGGAGAAGTGAGGAGATGTGGTGTGGTGTGGAGAAGCAGTGGGGGCAGTGGGACGGGTCGTCCCACATCCATGTGTGGCAGATAGGAATAGGAAGGGAAACCTTGGGAGTGAATGATACCTGCCCCAGGCCAGACTGCACATCCCAGGGTTCCAGTGTTGGGAAGATAAAGCTCCAGAACCTCTGTCTGTAAAAACCAGTGGGGGTTGGGTCAGTGAAAGAAACTGCTGGTTTCTCAAGAGAGTCCATTTAAAGGGCCCACATGGACTTAGAATGTATGTAAACCCAGCCACTCTGGCATTCATCACCAGGGCAACAGTTGGAAGGGTGCCAGTTGCATACGGGAAGTGGGTAAAATGACTGGAAATGGAGTGAGTGCTAGGCAAGCCTCCAGAAGCCAGGCAGCTACATTGTCCCCTCTCCAGGGCCTCACCCACACAGAGCCACAAAGCCTGTGGAGTGGGTTGCCCCACCTTGGTCAATACCTAAGGCTCCACCCCATACAACTTAACAGGTGCACTAAGACAGGGAGTCAAAGCAGCTCTACCTAACACACAGAAGCAATCACAGTGAGGCTGCCAAACTGAGGAGACAAAGAAATATGGCCCAAATGAAAGAACAGAACAAAACCCCAGAAAAAGAACTAAACAAAATGAGATAGTCAACCTATCAGATGCAGAGTTCAAAACAGTGGTTATTAGGATGCTCAAAGAGCTCACTGAGTATGGCAACAACATAAGGGAAGAAATTACACTAAGTGAAATAAAGAACAATCCACAGGGAATCAACAGTGAAGGAAAGGAAGCTGGGATTCAGATCAATGATTTGAAACACAAGGAAGAAATAAACATTCACCCAGAACAGAATGAAGAAACAAGAATTCAAAAAACAAGGATAGTATAAGAAGACTCTGGGATATCTCCGAACGTTCCAAGATCCAAATCACAGGGATGTTGAACGAGAAGAGGAAGAGCAATAAATTGAAAACTTATTAGAAAAAATAATGGAAGAAAATTTTCCTAATTTGGTGAAGGAAATACACATACAAGTCCAGGAAGCACAGAGTCCCAAACAAGATGGATGCAAAGAGGACTACCCCAAGACACATCATAATTAAAATACGAAAGGTTAAAGATAGAGAGAATCTTAAAAGCAGTGAGAGAAAAGTAGAGAGTTATCTACAAAGGAGTACCCATAAAACCATCAACTGATTTTTCAAAAGAAACTTTGCAGGCAGGAAGGGACTGGCAAGAAGTATTCAAAGTGATGAAGAGCAAGGACCTACAACCCAGATTACTTTAGCAAAGCCATCATTTAGAATGGAAGTCAGATACAGTGCTTCCCAGACAAGGTAAAGACAAGGAGGTCATCATCACCAAACCAGTATTACATGAAATGTTAAAGGGACTAATTTAAGAAAAAGAAGAAGATCAAAACTATGAACATTAAAATGACACTCACAGCTATCAACAACTGAATCTAAAAACAAACAAACAAACAAACAAACAAAAACAAGCTAAGCAAACAACCACAACAGAAACAGAATCATAGGTATGGAGATCATGTGGAGGGTTATCAGCTGAGAGGGGGAAGGAGGAGAACAGGGGAAAAGGTGCAGAGATTAACAAGCATAATTTGTAAGGACAAAATAGATAGGAGGAGATTAAGAATAGTATAGGAAATGGAGAAGCCAAAGAACTTATATGCAAGACCCATGGACATGCACTGAGGGGCAGGGATTGCTGGAGGGAAGGGGGTACCAGGTGGCAGGGAGCAAAGGTGAAAAACTGGGACAGTTGAAATAGCATAATCAATAAAATATACCTAAAAATAAATAAAAGTCCAGTAACAGCCATGGTCATTAACCACTATGACAACAAAGAGAATTAAAAGAGCTATGGTAATCTGATTAGGTGAGAAGGCAAAAAATCTGCTGTTGAATCATCACAAATATAACACATAAATACTTTGTGTTGGCAGAAACCAGACTCAATCTCATAGAGGTTTTCTAACTAACAACAGGCAATCTATTTCCTATTTCTACACTGATTTATTGTGTAGCCTTCTCAAATTATTTTGCAATTTTTAAATTTGGTTTTGAGATATGCTTAGCACTACATTTCTTGTAGAGTTAAATGTACCATGGTTTTAAAATCCTGGTAGAACCCAGGCTCTTTCTTGCTCACCTACCTTATGAGAACACTCAGTGCGCCCAGGGGGGTGACCAAGGTGGCAGGTGCAAAAGCATAAGCTGCAAAGTTCGCAGCCTCTCCTGCTCCCACTGGAAAGCAAGCAGCAGTATTACTATAAAATATGGATTTATTTGTCAGTACAGGAAAACATGACAGACACAAAGCAGTAGACTTTTAGCCCAACGACACTGATAGATTGAATGAGAAGGAATAATTAACTTTTTTTTTATGGAGGAAAGGGGAGATTGGCATTAGGGATGCAGATAAACTGTAATTACCTGGTCATACAAGCTCAACTTTCGCATGAAGTTTTTAGTTACGTCAGTACCAGAAACATATATGGTCACTCTGAAGAAATCTAGTAGAGGTAGCTTTGGAGTAAACAGAGAAGGATTCTGTTTGCTCAAGAATACTTAACTGTTATGCAAACTAACAGTGACAACAACAAAAACCTTGTAAAATTGGAATGCTTTGTAGAGATCTACTGCCCTAGGCAGGGGACACCTAGAGTCACCCACCAAGGGCCCACGTGGTGAGGCATCAGTTGCAGATGACCGACAAGCAGGTAACACTACCTTAGTAGCTCAAGGAGAGCCAAGCAGCTGTTTTAAAGTCATAACAATGTGCTCCAGCAATCCCCATCTTATCTGAGGAACTTGAAACTTCCATGAGATACTGTGATGCAAATAGCTTCTGGAGGGAGAGAAAATTCCTCCAAGAGCTGGGCCCTTGAATTGAGGCCAAATTATTCTCACGGGTTACAAACACTTGCCCACAGAATGTAGTATTTCACACTGGCAAACTATGCCAAACAAACTTATTGTAGAGAAAATTCTGGAACAGATAAAAGACACCAGCAAGCTTTTTCTTTTTCCCTCTGTCTGCTATGCTCCAGCCCCACACTTCCAGCCAAAACTGCAGGGGTCCTTAGCTTTAGGAAAATATCATAAGACAAAAACAGTTTGGAGACTGCTCTATAAGAAGAGCAATGGCTGTATTTATTTTTTTTTTTACAGTATTAAGCATTCTTGAGCACTTTATTGATGGCTTTTATCTTTATAGATGGCTTTCCAGGAAAATATTGATTTCATAATTAAAGCACTGGATGTTTGTCACTAGATAAAAATCTCTAATGTTAAAGGCATGCTTTTTCCTTCAGTACTGGCATAAACTTTGTACATGATGAAAATAAAATTCTAAATGTAGCCATATGATATTCTCCTTATATTTTCATTCTCTTGTGTGGGCAGAGGATGGGAAGACGCAAGAGAAAAGAGAAAAGAATCATCTAAATATCTATCTGGAATCTTCCCACTACAGTCCTTGTCAACTTTTATTCAAATGAAATAAGAAAACAGATGTGCAAACACCTTAGAACCAGAAAGGGCTGTACAAATTTAAATTATTTTTATTCGTTGTCTTTTTAGATTCCATCATTTGTGAAAAGAATTCCAGTTCTTTCCTATAACTGGGCCTCATAGATACTGCAATGGCATGGGAAAATAAATGGAGGTTTTAAGGCTTCTGGCTGTTGGGGAGATGACCAGCAAGTGGGGTGAATCACAATTTATGAGGTCCTTTCTTTGGAAGCTTTAGTTTTTTTAAGAAAGTTGAGAGGAGGTGTGGGGGAGATAGAAATCTGCGAAGGGGCCTGAGGGAGATCAGTGCCTGCTGCCTGGATGTCACCTTAGCACTGAGGAAGCTTCCACCTCCCACAGAGCCCCCACTTAATCCTCAGAGCAAGTCTAGGAGGAAGGGGAGTGCTGACCACCCTCATCGTCTCGTTATGTCAGGGACTTTCAGCCTTTACCATCTTGTGGCACACATAAAGCAATTACTGAAGTTTGGCGGCACACCAAAAATATGTATTTTTGCCAATCTGACAAAAAAAAGGTATCATTTTGATTCATTCACAGTGAATGGATATTGTTGTGTTGGTTATTGTCATTTCTTATTTGATAGTCCACGGAAAAAGAGGTCAGTGCCTCTGGCTAAATAGTCAGGTATTGCAGGTTTTAAAAATTCTTGCAGCACAACAGTGTGTCATGGCACACTGGCTGGAAATCACTGTTTTATTTGCTCAGTGCTAAGCAGCCAGAGGGAACTTTAACTTATCCATGCTTTGGTCCTGGCCAAGAAATTGTACCCGTTCCTTGGATAATGTACCTGTTCCTTAGAAAACACGCAGCTAGAAAAGTCCCAGATTCTAATTCAGAGCTGGGAAAATGTGTGAGGAAAGCATTTTCTTCCCTTGTTATGAAGAATATAATAAGAGAAGGAGAAGTTTGTGATAAAATATAGTATTTCAAATGTTAACTTTTTCCTTTGCATTCTAAGACAGTATTGAGAACATGGGGGTGGGAGAAGGAGTGTAAAACTTAATTCTAAATACATATGACATTTTATATGTAAGACTATGTTACACTTGCAAACAAAGTTTCGGGACTTAAATGCCATCCTTACTAGGAAGCTAAATTAATCAATTTTGAACAATTCCATGCAATTTATCATTTTAAAAGTGAACACTGTTCTTAGTGTTAGGACTTACTTGAGAGTAATCCTGCCCACCAGAGCCATTCCTTGAGGTAAGAATGTCCACCTTGACCTAGGAAAATGATAAAAATTTAAATTAAGTTATAAAGTGAAGGAAGAAGGTTTGGAGGATTGATTTCTAGGTACTGGAATATGGTTGGAAAAGGCGAGCGTTAAAGCCAAGTGAGTATATGTAGTCTTTTAACTTATTTACTTGGCCATTTCCAAAGATCTTCCAACACTTTCTATTATATTTTGAAATTTTTTAACCATGTCATTTCCTTTTTAGTTTAGGTGTTTAGTTAAAGGTGTTTCCATATAGATATTTTTTATTTTTTGGTCAATCCAGATAATCTCTTCCTTTACATAAAATAGTTTCTTCCTTTATCTTTATGCTTAGAAAGCCCTTCTTTTAGTTTTCTTTTCTCTTTTTAAAATGTTTCATTTTAACTGTAAACCATGTAGAATTTATTTGGATGAATGGTATAAAGTAGTACTTTTGTATTCTTCCCCTCTAATTTTTGACAATTTTTTTAATACTTTTGATTGAATAAGAAATCCTTTCTCCAGTACATTAAAGTGCCATTTAAAAAATCATACATTAAATTATTGTATGTACTTGAGCCCCCTTATACATTTAAAATTATCTTTTATTATTTTTATCTATTGTTTTTTTAATCATTGTTCAAGTACAGTTTTCTCCTTTTTACTCCCATTCCAGCGCACCCCATCCAGCCCTCCCCACTTCCCTCCCATTACCGCCTCCCCTCCTAGTTTCTGTCCATATGTCCTTTAAATTTGTTCCTGTATTTTTATCTATTCTTTTAATGCCAGTACCAAGCTGCTTTAATTAGATAGCATTATAGCATGTTTTATTTTCTGATAGTGCAAATCTCCCCTCAATAGTACTCTTATAAACCTGTTTGCACAATTTGTAGTCATTTATTTTTCCACATGAACCTTGGAATAATATTTAGGCCTGTTACAATATTATTCTCGATAAGAATGAATATGAATATCATGGTTAATGAAGGGTAGTCAAGCAGAGCTAGTCAGCATATGAAATGTCAGTATCCATAGCAACCTAATTCTATTGCTATCCATTTGATTTAACAAATATTTACTGGACGGCAAACACTATGCCAGGGAAAACTCCTGTTCTTGTGAGTTTGCTATCAATAAACAAGTAAACCTGTTGACAACAAGTAAATAAATGTACAATAAATGTACAATAACAAATTATTTCGGGTGCAATGAAGCACACCATTAGTGCTACAACAGAGAACGACAGAGCACGCTGGTGCGGGAGACCTGCCCAGAGAGAGTGGCCCAGGAAGGCCTTTCTGGGGTGATGATATTTAAGCTGAGATCTCAAGGGTGAATCGGCCCAATGAAGGGGAGGAAAAAAAGAGTTCCAGGCCAAGGGAAAAGACCTTGAGGCGGGAAAGAACTCTGTATATTCCAGGTGCCAGAGGAAAGTAGGTGACTGGGAGCAGAGCAGAGATGAAGCTGGGGAGGTAGCAAGGGCTAATTCACGCAGGAGGTCAGAGGCTGGGGAGGATGTTAGACTGTATTTATTCTGAGTGCAAAGAAAAGACACTGATGTGTTTCAAGCAGAGTAGCATGATCTGATTTTGACTCCTGAAACTGCAGAATAAAGCTATGAAAAGAAGAACCATACTACACCCGAAACCTCTTGAAGCAAGAATTTTAGACTCTGTAAGAGAGACCCAGCTGCCTCAAACCTGGAAACTGCTGAGAAAAGAACGGCTAAGATTGGAGATAGAAGCTACGATAAATGAAGACAGTAAAATATTATTAATGTAGCATTATGATCTTACAGGAGGATTATTTCTGCAGTTAGAAACTTGAATTTGTTAGTTGCATTCATTTCTTACCAGCTCTAGTGACACCCTTGTTGGCCAGTTGCAAAAGGCCCTTCTTTTTTAGTATGAAGCTGGAGCCAATAAAAATACTGGAACTTACTGCCAGTACCAGGCCCACATAAAGACTGTATTTGTTTTCTACATTTGCAGAAGTGCTCAAGTTGGAATTCAGGTTCCTGTAGAGGACAGGAGCAGCCAGCAGCTGTGACACATTTGTGATCTCACACCAAGCCTGGGAGGAGTTTGGACAGACCAAGGACAGCACGTAGCCTGGAAGAAAAGAGAGAAGAAAATGTCAACAAACAAAGAGGAGATGCACTTGTGTTTACTCTCCTTCTGCAACAAAAAGAAATGTGAGTGGACAGTCCTGAAACACCATTTTTTTACTGCATGAAGGGAAGCGCCCAGCAGGTAGTCTGTAGACCTGTGGACGTGTTCACTTTGGCTCACACAGGATCTTAAAATTTTTAAAAAATTTGTTTAGTTGTTATCATCTAAATATGAGAGATTATGCAGGAGAGTCTGGGTTTCTCTTATAAATTGGAAAATCTTGGTGATACTTGGTTCTAGAAAGACAGTAACCTGCTCCAGCGAAGGTAGCTGTTTAGACCTGGCTTACACTCAGAAATTCATCACAGTCCCCCCCACATCCATGGCACTTCATATTATCAGCCTGTCCCCTGGAATGCAGTATCTGTGACATCTGAATGCAGGGAGAGGGTGCAGCAACCCCATTGGTTTAGAAATCACTGTGTTACAGGAAATTATCTAACGCATTTGATGGTGCATGAATTATGCACTTCAGAAAATGTATTTAAAAGGTTTCATTTTCTGCACTGGCTGGTGTGGCTCAGTGGATTGAGTGCTGGCCTGTGAACCAGAAGGTCACTGGTTCGATTCGCAGTCAGGGCACATGCCTGGGTTGCAGGCCAAGTCCCCCATTTGGGGGCATATGAGAAGTAACCACACACTGATGTTTCTCTCCATTTCTTTCTCCCTCCCTTCCATTCTTTAAAAATAAATAAATAAAATCTTAAATAGAAAAGATTTCATTTTCTGTACCACTTTGCCTGAAGAGAATGATTTTTCAAGTCTATGTAATCTATCTTCTCCTAAGTAAAATAGAATCTAAGAGAAAAATGAATTAACTGCCAGCAGGCTTTTTTTAAAGAATAGGATTCAAATAAGTATGTAAACTATTGAACCAGGCCCATGATTAAATAAGTACCTTGGAATTATGAGGCTAAACACTAAAACGCAAAGTTGAAATATTTTACACTATATTATGAACTTTTAAAATCTGTTCTCCACTTAAAAAGCTGTCAATGGGTAACATCATGACTAGATTTCCTGACTGTCTTCTCAACTTTTTTTCCTTCTAAAGCCATATTTTCCCATTATAAATTACCCTAAGTAAAAAAGGGCAAAAAAAATTAATCAAGTATAATTTTAGAATTCAATAATAAAGTCAATTTTACATCTCAAAAATCTTAAGAAGGCATACCTAAAACAAAACAAAACAACAAAATCAGTTTGATCAAATGATGACAAAACTTTAATGGGATGGATACATCCCCGGCAAAACATTATGAAGTCATCTGAATTTTACCACGTATAAAGTGAAGAAACAACCATAAAGTTCACATCTAGAGAAAGGTAAAATGATTGAATTTCAGCTTTTCATGATTATTATTTCATTTATCTCTGCAAGTTGAAAATCAATCAACTTTGACTCAAAGATATAGGATAAATTCTGAGACAAAACTTCTAAATATTCTGAGAGGAATTATATAATTTCAAGGACATTTTATATCTTCGACAGATTTTCAGTTGGGTTGTTTTAGTAAGAATTGCAGTAAATTTTCAAACAAGCTAGCCCTTAACAATCTTGTTCTGGGCACTGTTCATTTCATTTAAACCCCACGAACGGAAAGTAATTTTTAATAATTAGAATTTCGATTGGTTTAACTCTTGAGAAACATGTGACCTGACTTCCCAGCGAATTCCATGGCTGCATTGCTGTCATCTGCTATGCAGTTAACCATTCCAAAACTTCATCTCTGAAAACAGTGTGGGTGGATCTCATTCCAGTGGAACAATATTCTTTTTAAGCTGTTGACATAGCAAAATGTTTCCGACATTTTAGGAGGTGTGGGAGCAGAGGGTGATAAGGGAGAGCAAATAATCTTTGTGGCATTCTGTGACTTCTCATTGTAAGTGGCAGACATCAATGCTGCATGTTTTATGGCAGGAGAAATATTAAAAATCTTGTGTGGTTACTGATTCAGAACTAAAATTATTTTGTGTTTTGGGTATTTGTTAAGGAGAGAGCCAGCCTACAGCAGATGGGACTGAAGGAGGGAGTGAATGGTGAGTTGGTGCGTGTGGAGCACAGGGTAGCAGGGATGTGTGGGCAGGGACTTCGCAGTGTTTCAGAGGAATTAGAGAGATCTCCAAATCAGAAGTGGCTTTTTAAGATCTGTGTGAGCAAAGTAATTATACAGGGAACTGAATCCAAACTGTAATCAACATAGAAAGAGAAAATCTATTACATCCACTATTTTTCATGTTAATAGATACTGTCCGTCATCCTCTGAAGTGACTACTGATGTATACTCCTGCCAGGAGGGAGCATACATTACTTCTTTGATGATTTTGTTATTTATTTTTCTAAATATCAAGTAATGGATATTTAGGAAATATGTGTCAGTTATAAAGAAAAACAATTCAACATATACCAAGGAATCAACCACCCAGAACAATACCCCTCAGAGGTAATGACCATTCTGATTTTCTGCTAAACATTCCTTTGCTTAAAAAAATCCCCTACATGATTATATCTTCAAGTAATAAAGTGTTTAGTTTTGTCAGATTTTGCACATATAAAAATATGATTATAGAGTATGCATTCTTTGGTGACTTGTTTCTGACATTTATTGATGTAGATGCATATGGCTGCAGGTTTTGTTTTTTCCCTACTATTCTATAGAATCCCACAGTATGACTATCTTATAATTAATTTTTATTTTATTGTTGGTGAACTTTTGGGTAATTTACACAGTTTCTGCTTTTATAAATAGTACTGATAATTCCTCAAATATGTCAAACCATATGTGATTGATATCTGACAATTTTTGATGTTACAGAAATAGCAGTTTCATATGGTTCAACTTAATACAGATCTTCTATGTAGAGGTGTGAAAGTTGACTTACACACAATTTAAAAACAATGTTACATTTTCTATAGGAGTATATGACATTCCCCTTAAGTTCTAATACTATCTATAATGATGGGCAGGTTAAGTAATCACTCTTGGCTTCAGTTTCATTAGCTCTAAAATGAGGGAGTTGGACTTGATTCTGAAGATGCCTTCTACAATTTGGTGGTTTGACTGTAAGCTGTCTTTGCTCCCAGGGTAATTTATTGATGATCCTGGTAGCTCATAAATATTGCTGATGGACCACCTCTAAACTCACAGGTACTTGTGGTTGGAAGACATTTTAAAGAAACTGATGCCAGGATCTTAAGTGACTTTCCAAAGTTGTGTAACTGCCCAAACCAAGGCAAAGAAACCCAATTCCCCAGCTAGTATTTTTTCTATTTCTGTAAAGTGAAACAATAAGGTACAAACAAAACCAGATAAAAATTATTATTAATGCTTATACAAAGATAAAGTGCTTTGAATAATTTATTACAGTACAATTTGCTTACAGAGATCAATTTAAATTATTCAGTTTATTATATGAAGTAGAATATCCAGTTTCTAAGGAGTCAGTGATTGCATAAAACTACATTTTTAATCATTGCAAGGTATTTTTAGTTTGAGGAAATCATTGTTTCACTATTGGTTCTATGGGTAAGCTTAAATTCAGCAAATATTCACTCCTTTATCCTCATGATGTGGGCTGAGTATTCTCCTGATGTCAAGATGGAATTGAGTTGGTGGCTAATGGGACACGAGCAGAGGTAATATGTGGAGAGGGTCCAGATTTGCTCATCTTTTGGGGTTTATTCTCTTGAACCTCTGCATTTATCAGGAATAGAACTACCCTTAGGAACTGCTGCCCCTTCAGCCCGAGTCCCAGAATAAAAATACATGGAGCAGATCTGACCTCACCCCACTGTGACAATAGTCAGTCAGTTATTAACAAAGGAAGGGAGCAAGTGGAATAAGATATTAAGCCTGATTAATTAGGAAGGAGCAGCTTCACAGACACTCCAAAGGGACATAATCCCTCAGTAGGCAGGAAAGACAGGCTTCCAAACTTACCCAGAGAACACCCAGCCAGTTTCCCCAGATTAACTGGGGTTGGGGGGGTGAAGGGAGGATAAACAGCAAAAGGGAAATTTCTCTGCTGAGGTGTGTGCAGTGGAAGAAGCCAGATGACACAGCAAAACTATGAGGCATGCACAGTAGGAGTGAAAATGGCAACCACAGAGGGGAGGAGTCTAGCCTGGGGAAAAGATGAGAGAGGATTACGGCAAAAAACTCCAAAAAATCCGAGAAAGCCTACTCTTGTCTAAGCCCAAAGAAATATAATTTTAAAAAGGTCCCTTTCAGTAGCACCTACGTTCCCTCTGTCTCTCTTCAGTAGCCATGTGGGCCGAAGCGGAGCACCCACTGTGGGCCAGATGGGAATGGACACTGTGCTGGACTGCTGGGGCATCGGGTGCCAGGTTAATGGTGGAGTGGCTCTGGGTCCTGGCCCTCCTCCCGGGCTTGGGGGAGATGAGAGTGGGCCTGCTGCCCCAGAGGCTGGACTTCTTTCACAACAAGATGGAGCTGAGCCACCTGGTCATGGATGAGACACGGGGCATGGTGTACCTGGGGGCAGTTCTTTGTTTTCACTCTAGTAAATCTTGCCACTCAAATCCTCAAATCCTCCTATGTACATATCCCTGAAATGCATTTCCTGTGATACCGTGGAAGACTCCTATTTTCTCCAGCAACACCACAAAAAGAAGCTAAATTCAGCTGGACATGTAGCCAGATGCAGAGACACCTGGGTGAACCCCATTTATATTAGTCAACTATCAGCTTAACTACAGACACATAAGTAGAAATATATAGGATGGAGCAAAAGTAGGTTTATAGTTGTGAAGATGTGAAACAGTTTATTATTGTATTATTATTTATTAATTACTGTATTATTTTCCATACACACAACTGTTAAGCCTACTTTTGCCCTGCCCTGTATGATTATTGTTTTAGCCACTGAGTTTTCGGTTTTGTGTTATGTAGCAATAGCTGACTGATATACCTGCCCATTCATATTAGCAAAGGAAAGAATGAGTGAAATCTCTGTGTCCCTAAATTTATTCTGCAGATATCAGCCAGTGTGAATCAGATTATGTCACTTCCCTGCTTAATTCCACCCCCTCCCCCTGTCATGATTTTTTATTGCAATTGTAATAAAATCTAAACTCCCAATCCTGGACTTTTTCTAAAACTTTACATGGTTTGAATCTTGCACACCTCTGACATTATATTGTATTACTCTGTTTAACTCTCTCTCCCAATTCTCTGAAACAACACTAGTTGTCTTTTTACTCATTGATTCAACAAATATTTACTGAGTATTATTTGTGAGGCATTTGCTAGAAGCTGGGGGTACAACAGTGAATGAAAGAACATTCATACTCTCTTATAGTCATTCTAATGAGGGGAAGTAAGATAGACAAGTGAACTAATACTACATAATATGTTGAGTGCCATGGAAAGCAGTAAAAGCAGCATAAAGAAATACTTTTCTTTTTTTAAACACGTTACATGGAAAACCTCTCTACCAAGTGTAAAAGCAAATATCTTGGGGTGCGAATGTGCTTAAGGGGTTGGAGGAACGGCAGCCAGCCAGGCTGGCTGGCTGGAGTGAGAGGTTAGGTTGAAACATAGCAGGGGACAAGATCAGGTGAAACGAGCCTTTAAATAAGTAGGTCCAATCTTGTCATTTCACCTTCCCAACTTCTAGAATGGCTTCCCTTCTCATTCAGAAAAAAAGCCAAAGTTCTCACCACAGTTTACAAGGGCCTGTCAGCTATCTGTGCAACTTCATTCCCTGCTATACTTTTTTTTAGTTCCTTTCATAGGCTAGGTTCCTTCTTACCTTAAAGCTTTGAGTAACCTTTACTTAGCCTAAGTAGTGAAGTAGTGACTGGCATAGCTAGGTCCTCCTTGTCACTAAGCACTCTCTTAAAATGCCACCTCTGGCTTCCCAATCTAAAGTAACTTCTTGGTCAAGTTCCATCATATCGACCTATTTAATACTGCCAAACAAATGTCTTACAGTTTAATTATGGCTTTATATATAACAGTATCACATATCTGTATGGCTATTTCATTAATTCATTCAACAAAATAGTTGTTGAACACCTACCATGCAAGGCACTATGGTAGGTGTTCATTTATTCAACACTTAGCAAATTCTCACTGAGCACTTCCTGGGTGCCATGCCCTGTTACAGGAACCGGTGAGATAGTGATCAACAGGGCAGGTCAACCAGTCCCTGTTCTCATGCAGCTGATGAATTTAGTGAGAGAACAAACAAGTGAACAGGAATAAAGGGTGCAGAACAGGGATGAGAAATAACTGAGCAAATGTTGAACAGAGTAAGAATGAGAAATAATTTTGAGCAAATTCGGAAATCAAGTCATAACAGACATATTTTCATATTGACTCTGATAGGGCTGGGGAAGAAGCCCATTATTTCGATGAACCAAAATAAAATTGAAAAGACACTGTGGATCTTTTTAAAAGTTAAAGACCTGTATCTCTAAACAAGATCTTCCCAACATCACTACGTCTGAAAGCCAAGAAGCGTAAGAAGACTGTTAACCATCAGACTTCCTACTAAACTGCTGTTTCCACTTTACAATCTGAATGTTACTGAGCTTACTAAATTGTTAAGATAAAATCCCCTTAAAATTAATAAAATGATTAAAGAATGAAGATGCAGGAAATGAACCTAAAAATAATACTTTAATAAGCATACTTCTATACCGAGATTTTAAACCCTGATACAGTCCATATTAAATATTAAACTACGCAATGAATAGCATGTTGTTTTCTGAACAACATTCAGTAGAGAATTTTTACTACCTTTAACCTTTAAGCACTTCACTCCTTTACTACCTTTAGGCACTTTTGAATTTCAGCACTTAGGAAAAATATGAAAGGCTAGAAAAACAACCTGTGCTTTTAAACTTCTAGTAAAAGTCTGGAGGAAGTCTTTTTTTAGTTCAACATATAAACTGTTTGATTTTATACAGAAAATGCAGCTTGTCCTGAAAATAAAGGTTGTGATCATTTGGAATTTTGAGTAGTAATGTTTACGATGTTTTTAAAGAGTAAAATCTCCGAATCATTAAAACGTAAACCACTGCACCAAGAGGCCAGAGAAAGGGCACGGGCACCTACAGAAAACACAAAGGCCCAAATAATTTTGTGCTTAGTTTGATCTCCCATTTTGAAACCTTATTCAATCTGGGCTTTGGTTTCTGTATCTGTGAAAGGGATATAATGACTACCTAATAAACTCATAGAACTTACTATGTGTGAGGGTAAACTGACATATTTTTATGTTAACCTGTTTCAAAAATTTAAGATTATATACATGAAAATGGGACTTGTCCTAATCAGTGTAAGAGAGATACAGCCAATTCTCAAAGAGGGGCACAGTTCCCTACTTTCCTTCTCTCAAAATCATGAAGACAGGCTGAATCAGCTCTAAACATAACCTATGTCATTTTTCACTCTGCTAGTCAGCTGCACCCTGGGAAAGCGGCTCACTCAAAGAAAAGTTTGAAGACCATTGGATCCCTCTCCTCCTCCAAATCTCTCTACTGCCAAACCAGGTCTTTCTGTCCGTGGTATCTCCTGGCACCATAATCAGTTGGTGCATCACAGGTGATGGGGGTATTTCTCACATTCTATTTTCATCATGTCATAGTTTTATGTTAATAAAGCTCTATTGGAGTTAAATTAAGATCTGTAGAATGGATGATATAATATAAAAGTCCTAAATAAAAAAAAAACCCTCCATATGTGTTTAAATTTATTTTTTGAGATAATTTTGGATTAGAAGGCCTTTTGAAGAATTTATAATTTTAATAGTAAAAACTACACTAGGGGGTTAACTTTTTCTGTATGGAAGCACAACTGGAACGCTCTATCAGATCCTATGATGGACTCCTTTTCATTTGGGTCTCAGCTCACATAGGAGTCTTCTCTGCATACCCAGTCTGAGCATCCCAATTCTCTCAATACATTATCCATGAAACTCACCACTGTTGTCCTTTTTTTATTCATTTGTTTCTTGCATATTATCTATCATCTAGACAGTAAACTGCACAGGAGCTGGGACCTGGACCTAAACTCTAGGACCAGGCTATCTTGCAAATTCCTCTGTACGAGGCCCTGGGCCAATGCCTGGCACATGGGACTCATTAAAATTGAGCCTTTACTCCATGTCAGGCTTCATATGTAATCCCGCCCACTTCTATTTGTCACAACTGTACAGTGTAAGAATTATTCCCAGTTTATAGAGGAAGAAAGACTCAAGGAGGCTAAACTATAGCTGGGAAGACTGATGCCAAAACCTAGTCTCTTCTCACCACTTCTGACAACGTGGATTCTAGGTTCTCCCACCTATCTCCCACACAATTAATTGCCACAATTAATCACAGGAATTAAGTACTGAGCTTGAATATTTCTTGTTGGAACTAAAAGTATTAGCTAGCAAAGCAGGAAAAACATCCTGCTTTGCTAGGACCTTCAAACAAGCTGGTGTGATCCACACGCCCTCCTTACAGATCCTTGGGTAAACAAGGGTGGATGGGTTAGTAACAGTCTGACTTCACTAGTGTAGGAATCATTTAGGCAAAGGTCACACAACATCACTATCTAGGAAATCTAGATCCAGCTACCTAAACAACCACTTCCAAAATCTCCGCTTTTGAATAGGGTGTGAATTGTTCCAGACATTTTCTCTCTTAGTGTCCCTCTTCTCTCTTGCCACAGTTTCGACTTTTGACTAGTTCACTGCCTACAATCAACAATGAAAACCCCTCCGTATCAAGGAATAAGCTGGAGGGACCACGAGGAGAGAAGACGGGGAAAGCCGCCAGCAAGTTCGGAAAGGTATCTAGTTCTTGTCACGTCCCTCACTGTCCTTACCCTCCTTACATCCTCATCAGATAAGTTAAATATTGTCTTTCTCCTTGAAACTGTGGAAACCATCACAATTTCGGTTGATCCACACCTTTCCTGTCACACATACCACCCCGATTCCATCCCCCCACCCCATCCGTGCCTTTTTTTATCCGGACTCACACGCGCCTAGTGAGTAGAAAGGCTGCCAGTGTTGCAAGTACCTGGGGTCGGGTGGGGACTGAAACTGCAGCCCAGTAAGCAGTGAGAAACCTACAAACGACTGCACCCAGTTCCGGTCTCCTCTTACGTCGGGCTCTCGCTTTACGCTGCCGCGAAGTGACTGCACCAAGAGTCAGACTAGAGGCTGATGAGGCAGGGACGTTTTCCTCTCGAAGTGAGAGAGGAGTGGGCGGCCCAGGTGGGCCCAGCTTGCTCCCCCTCAGTCCAGGGTGCCTGGACTGAGTGCCTCCACAGTGTTTGGCCCTCCCAGAGCCAGCTCAGGGTGCCACTGGGGACTCCCACCAGGTTCCCGGGCACGCCCTCTGCCCACAGGGTGGTGTCGACAGCGGACTTTGGAAGTGAGTCTGAGTCAGTGGAAGCATCTTTCTCAGACGAGACTTGGGAGTCTTTCCACAGCATCCTGAGTTTCTCCGTCACAAGACTAAGCACAGTGTAATTTACCTGCAACTGCCTCCCGGACCAGAGTGGGAGCCACGTATGTCTTGTTCGACTGATTCAGGCTTTCCCAAAGAGTCTGGCATATTGTAGGCACCAATAAAGAGTTGCTGCCTCGTTGGCTGGGTGACTGGCTGAATGAATGGTTAATGCATGATGAATGAATTAAGAGTCGCGAATTACCCGGGACCGCCCATGTGTTCTCGTAGCCACCCAGATGCCAGGATCCCTGGCTGGGGCATACACTCACCTTCTCGGCAGGGCTCTCCAGGCGGCAGCCTCACCTCTCCCCCCATGTCCGTCAGACACGGTTTCCCAGGCGTAGGCGGTTGCTCCTTACCCTCCTGGACTTCTCCTGCTCCCCATGGACCTGCGCTCCCCTGGAGCAGCAGTTGCGGTGTCCCAGGCTTTTGTGAGCTGACCCCGCCCCCGGGCTGCCTCAGCCAATGGGGATGGCTGGGTGGGGCTTCCGTACGAGCCACGCCCCTACCTCCTAGGTTGGGTTGTAATTCTCAGTGGGAAGTGGAGGCTACATACCTGGTCTCCTGTGTGTCAATGGCGGAATCGCCCACTGCCACTCCTAACCACTGTTGAAGCCGCACAGTAGCGAAGCACAGACACACCTCGCAGGGTGAAGGCATCTCTCTGAGCTTGGGGGCCACGGAGCCAACTCTCGGAAATTTATGGAGCATAGCCTGTGCTGAGGCCCCCTTCTGGCTCGCGGGTATCGAAATGTCTCCTGCTTCTGGATTCTGAGCGCTTGCTCTGTATGTTAGAAGCTTTGTATGGAAAGTTGCTGGCCACTGGGATTCTGCTCTGATTACCATGCTAAAATTTATTCCGGGGCTTTAGAACAGACTGTGCCCTTCTGTGCTATTATCAGCTTCTCCCACGGTCCTTCGACTTCGAACTGGTGCCCCTCCACCCTCCTTTTTCTTAGTCATGCAGGTAACTGCAATAAATGCTTGAAGGAAAGGCAATGCTCAAACTGAAACGACTTGTTCCTACAAAATAACAGTAGTTCGCATTTATGATATTCTTGCTTTACGATGCTAATGTAGGCACTTTATATGTATTAACTCATTATATCTGACAACATAGTCTACTAATCGCTAGTTTATAGAGACAAAACATGAGGTTAAGTAATTTAACCACTAGTCAGTCAATGGAAGGCCTCATAGCAGGTCGTTATACAACGTGAAATGGGCACAATTCCTGCTAAAACCCTGACCACAGGGATGGGGAGGCTTTTTGCTCTGGGACTTCAGTGAAGGAAATACTATCCGCTCACTTTATCTTTGTTCTAGGTAGTCATGAACAAACAGCGCTATTAACTTTATTACCTAAGAGCTTCATAGCAGAGGCTTCAATCTTGCTTGACTTGTTCTTCCGCTGATGAGAAGAGTTAATGATCTGTCAACATAAAACAAGGCACACACATTCACATGTGGATGGCTTGGTGGAGGAGTAGCATGGGGAGTGGAATAGGTGAAGGTTGTAATGGAGGGAGATTTATGCCAAATTTGGATAACACGCCTTAAAACTTAGATTTATAGTTAAACGTTTTGTTTGGACATCATATTTAAATTTTCCCCTTTATCAAAGATTGGTGATAATAGTAAATGTGATCTGAAGTATTACTTATTACTTATATATTTAACCAACACTTAAATTGCACTTATGTGGGCCAGCACTATTCTAAACACTTTGTAAATATTTGCTTTTTAAATCATCATAATAGATAGGTACTATTATTAATCCCCCCTTTACAGATAGGAAAGGGAGGCAGTTAGAGAAACTAACTTGCCTGTGGCCACACAGCTACTAAGTGGTGGAGCAGGGATGCTAACTAAGGAAGTCAAGCTTCAGAGACTGTGCTCTTAACCCATTTGCTTATAGGATGTTTTTAAAAAATGGATATTTAAAAAACTAAAAATGTACTTTTGAAAACTAAAAATGTACTTTAATTATTATAATTAAAATAATTATTTTAATAATTGAATTTCAGGTTCCAATTAAAAGTCTATTTTAGGTAGGAGGCACTTTGTTGTAATTTTTGTTTTTCCATTCCAGAAATAAACAGAGAAAAGTATTTAAATTTATCTTAAGATCACTACTTTCTCGGCTTAAATGTTGCTTCTCAGAACTTTACCATGTATTTTCCTTCACTACTTGTTTGTAGATGACTTTGACTATTATGCCATTATATTGAATAGCACCATAAACTGTCATGAAATGACATTCATTTTGAAGATTATTATTCCTAATAGAAACCATGGTGTTTACTTAACAAAAAGAAGAACATTCAAAAATCTCCAACAGGTCCACTCAACAACTCTGGGAACATTCCTTTTTGACTTAAAACTTAGGATTTGATCATAAATGAGGTCCTCCCAAACATCAGCTTCTGTTTTATTGGTCTTTATTGGTATAGACTCAGTAGTGATAGTCAAAATAATGAAGAACCTGTAGAATCTCAAGGCCTCAAAGGGACTAAGCCACAGGTTCTTTGAACAGTGCTGGGGTCTGGGAGGGTCCCTACTGTACGAGGCTTTAACCCTTCAGTTGCTAGATTGTGGAGAGGTCTAAGGTTCCCTGGGCAGGGACGGGGTAAACAGGCCGTGTCAGTGGTTATTAGGGAGGGGGCTTGAGACAACTTGCAGAAGTTACACTGTGCCAAGTCTACTACTGGGAATTCATGGTTCCTTATTTTTTTCTCAATCAGCCTAGCTAAATAGGTCATCAATTTTACTAATTTTTCTAAGAAACATCTCTTACCTTTATGATTTTCTTTACTAATTTTAAAAATTTCATTGATTTCTGCCGCTGTTTTTGTTTCATGTCTTCTACATTGAATTTAATTTGCTTTTCTTCTTTCAGCTTCTGAGGTGGAAACATAGATCATTGATTTTAAAACTTTATTCCTTCTAATATAATCATTTAAAGCCAAAGTTGTCTTCAAATAGTGCTTTAGCTGTATCCCACAAATTTTGAGCTGTTGTGTTTTTATTATTCTTTAGTTCAAAATATTTTGAAATTTTCCTTGTCATTTCTTTTTTGACTTGTGGATTATTTAGGAATATGTTGCTTGATTTCTAAATACTTGGGGACTTTTCCAGATATTTTTCTGTTATTGATTTCTAATGTAATTCTGTTTTGGACACTGAACATATTTTGTGTAGTAACAGTCCTCTGAAATTTACTGAGATCTGGATTATGATCTATTTTGGTATTCACCAAAATTGACAATCCAAGTGAAATTGACAAGAATGTATATTCTGTAGTTGTTGGCTATAGGGTTTTCTAAATGTCAATTAGGTTCAATTGATTGTTAAGAAATTTAGTTTATTACTGATTTTTAAATTTGTTCTGTCAATTACTGAGAACAAAGTGTTAAAATCACCTGTAATTGTCAGTGTGTCTATAAATTTAGTGCTGCCAGCTTTTGCTTCCTGAATTTTTGGAGCTTTGTCAATAAGTGGATGTACAAGTTGGACTGTTATGTCTTCTGAGTGAAGTGACACTTTTATCATCATTAAATGTTCCTGTTTATTTCTGGTAATACTTTTTTGATTTGATTGTACTTTGATATTAATATAGCTACACTAGATGTTTTATTAGTATAGCTATACCTTTATTATTAGAGTATATATACCCTTAACCTCTAACTTATCTTTATATATTTTTTAACTTTTAAAAACATTATATATTATTGTTTAAAACTGATTTCTTGTGCACCTGGCTAGTGTAGCTCAGTGGATTGAGCGCGGGCTGCAAACCAAAGTATTGCAGGTTCGATTCCCAGCCAGGTCACATGCCTGGGTTGCAGGCCATGGCCCCCAGCAACCGCACATTGATGTTTCTCTCTCTCTCTCTTTACCCCTCCCTTCCCTCTCTAAAAATAAATGAATAAATCTTTTTAAAAAAACTGATTTCTTGTGCTTTGGCCAGTGTGGCTTAGTTGGAGCATTGTCCCGTAGACCAAAAGGCTTGGGGTACATACCAGAAGGCAATGAATCCATGTCTTTCTCTCTTTCTCTCTTTCTCTCTTTCCCCCTCACCCTTCCTCTCTAAAAAGGAAAAAAAAAACCCACCTTATTGCTTGTAAGTAGTATGTAGATGCACCTTACCTTTTTAACCAAGCTGTCAATCTCTGATTTTGATTAGCCGTTTAGTGTGTGTGCATGTTTTGTAATTATTGATGCAGTTAGATTAAGTACGAAAAAATTCCTTTAACATTTCTTATAGTGTGGATTTACTACCAAGAGGTCCTCTTCATTTTGCTTGTCTGAAAAAAATCTTTATTTTGTTTTTATTTTTGAAAGCTAGTTTTCTTTGTTACAGACATGTAAATTGACTGTACTTTCTTTCATCACTTTAAGGATATTATTCCATTGTTTTTAGCTTACATTGTTCCTATTAGAAGACTAACTATTCATTCGTTTCCTGCCCTTGCTCCCCACCATGGTGTGTAACATGCCTATTTCTCCCCTTTGGCTGTTGGAAAAAAAATTTACCACTTATTTTCAATAATTGGGCTTTTAATTACCTTGGTAAGATTTTATTTGTGTTTATTCTGCAACGGGTTCATCTGAGATATGTGGGTTTATTCTTTACATTATTTTAGAAAATTGTTGGCCATTTTCTTCAAATAATTGTTTCTACCCCCTCCCTTCTAAGACACCAATTACACATATGTTGATCTGCTTGATATAACCTCATGAGCCATTGAGACTCTGATGTTTAATCTCTTGTTTCAGTTCAGACAGTTTTGATTGCTATGCCTTCAAGTTTACTGATTGTGTCTTCTGATTTATCGATTCCACTGAATAGATATCTGGTAAATTTTTCATTTTGACAGTACCCTTTTAACTTCTAGAAGTTCAGTTTGTTACTTTTTCATATTTGTTTATTCATTATGTATGTGTTTTATTTTTAAATCCTGAGCATATTCATAATAAATATTTTAAGGTCCTTGTTGCTAATTCCATCATCTCTGTCATTCTTAGGTCTGAAACTATTTACTGATATTTATCCTGATTATAGACCACATTTTCCTGCTCCTTTGTGTGTCTAGTAATTTCTGACTGAATGCTAGACATTATAAGGTTAAATTGTGAAGATTTTAAATTTTGTTACCTCCCTAAAAGAGAAAAAGAGAGGTGAGTTACTTGGAGATTAGCTAGATCTTTTATAATTTTGTTTTAAGATTTGTTATATAGATTAAATATATCCTTTACCTTAGATGTAATTTAGACCTACTATTAAAAGTGTGGCTTTCCTGTGTATTCTGTTAATCCTTGGGTCCCCAGTGAGATCACTTCACTCTGACAGGAACTTGACTGTCCAAGCTTTGCGTGAACTCTAGTAATTATTTA